TCTTTGGCAATTAAGGCTGTCCTGTTGCTAATGAATCTTTGCTGCCTCTAGGATTTACTTTTTACTTTCCTCATCCCTATTGAGAGACAGTAGGGACTCACTGTCTATGTATCTTAGCTGTTCTGTGGATAACTGGAAATTGAAAAAGGATTTTGTGGATCTGCTTTGTCAAATAATAGGAAACATGCTTACACTCCTAGTAATTGTAGTCATGCATTCCTAGTAACAGGGAACATACTCTAGTACCATAGTATTTTTCCACTGTTTCTGGATTTTCAGTGATGATTTTTTTTCCTACTGAATGTCAAGAGGTGCTTTTCTCTTTTTACAGATAAAGCCTGCAGTGGTCTCTGAGGCATAGCAAGGAAAGGTTGTTGTAGGTGCTGATGCAAGGGAGTTGAACAAGAGGATGTGTTGAGTTATTGTTCAGAAACAGGATAGTAGAGAAAGAAAAGTAACATAACCTGTAGGGTTTGTTCGGGGAGAATACAGGGGGAACTTGGAAAATGTAGTTTTCAGTGATTTTGTAGCTTGGAAAGATGCAAGGTATTTCACCTAATTAAACATGCTAGAAAGAGTCCTGAACCTGCACAATGACAGCAAAAAAAAGTCAGACTGTTAAAGTCAGACACTGGAAAACCAAGAGGTCTCTGGATCTGAACTTTGTGCATCTCAAGAAGAAATTAAGAGACTTAAAAAAACATTGGCTCCATTTTGAGCTGTAAATCCATATCTATCTGTAAAATGGTATCTATGTAACAATATTTGATGAAGAAATAGTGAATGTTCCTTTGATGTCCTGTCGCATTTCCTCACCTTCTAGGTGAAGCTTAGAGATACGAAGTGTCATGCTGGTGTTGAGAGAAGTGGAAGCTACTGTGGGAAACTTCATAAGAAATAGAATTGCATGGAGAAGGATCTGTTAGATTGCTTTCCATGTGACAATGAAAGTTGTGAAAAAGGAGCTTATGGAATTGAAGTGAGGGGAAAGGTACAGAAGACTAAATCCAAGAGGACAGTGTCTTGTGTACAACCCATCTTCTTAACAAATTAACTATTTTTTTCCATATTAAGGATGATCCCTCTGATTTCTGCAGTCCTTTTAAAGGACTATTGACCATTGGTTACGTCTCCCAATTTTCAAGATTTATATTTTCAGTATGCCTTGGATACAGGAAGTCTCAGAAATTTTCTAGTAGGACTATCTTGCCAACAGTTGGTAATCTGGCCTGTTAAGTCTTTTCAGCTGTGACAAATAAATTGGGAAAATGGGCATCCAGACTTTACTCATACCTTTACTGTTCGTGGTGCTGTGTGTGTTATCATTCCCTTTTATACTTGGAATTATATATTGTGGTAGAGTATATACACTACTTGTTTTAATAAGAGAAAATAGCTTTTCAAATAGTTGTGTCCCTGTATGGACACTGAAAATAAGGCCTTGAACTGAGTGTGCTTTAGATTTTTTTTCTTGAACCAGGATTCTTTCAATCATACCAACAGAGGCAGTTAAGCAATCTCTTGAAATGTTGTGGTTGTGGCTGATGAGATCAGAAGCAGGGAAGAGAAACTCCAGTTTGGATTGAGAACAAGCAGGTTTAAAAGGTGCAGGAACCTGTGTGATGACTGACGTGGATCCAATGCTTGTTCACAACATCATGCTGCTGTAGGAAAAGAAGAGGCGCCAGGTGCCTTGGGTGGCTTGCTATGTACTAGCGTGTGGTCTTGAGGGATAATGCTTCCTGTAAGTGTTTTGGACTTTTGCAAACTCCTTGTACAAGGCATTCCAGCATAATTGTGAAATGTTTGTTGCATGTGTCATACCGAATTATCTGTACTCATCTCTTCTCTTAAATTGTAAATTAATAGCAATGCTGCAGTAGGGAATAACCTCTGTAGGATTTTTTTTTCCTCCCTGTAAAGGGAGCCTTATTTTCCCTTTACAGAGAAGTCTGGAAAATTGGTTCCTCAAACATTGAGTAGTAAGGGATTTGTTCATTTGCCAGGGATGGACATGTTCTTGTATCTGAAAAAGCACTTCCCCATCCTCCTCCTCCTCCCTCTTGCTGCCCGTGCCTTGCTCCTAGACACCTCAAAGAAGTTATAAAAGTCTGACTGCTCAGAGAACTGATATCATGGAGTCCGTTTTTAAAAAAATTTTTCTACCTTGCTGCTGCTTCTGGAACTATGTCAAGTAGAATTGGGCTTGTTTGGGCCTTCCACCCTCATGAACAAAATTAGGTGTGTTTTTGCTAGTCTCCCACCATGGTGTTTTTTTGGTTTTTTTTTTTTTTTTTTTAATTGTTACTGTATTTTGTTTTTTATTTTATAATACTGTAAACTTTTCACCATTTCTGAGGATTAGTCTAAAGCCTCCCTGCAGGAGATGAGCAATTCAGAAACTAGGTAATATATACTAAAGACATTTCAACCCAAATGGATTGTGAGGTGAAGGGTAATAAAGATATTTCATTTGGGAAAAGGTCAGTGGACTGGGGGTATTACTGTGTTTGAGTATGTTAATGCTTTCCAGGCTCTCTGCTACCTCTTGGTGACCTTGCTTTGATGCTTGAGGTCTGAAGTTGCATTTACCACAGTAATTGATTGCATGCTGGTAGCCAGAATGATTAATGTCAGATTCATCTGTGTACATTGGAGAAACAGACTCAGGAAACTGACTTGTAATGGTGCTGGATGTGATTGATGTGCACTGTGGCATCCTTGGCAATCCTTGTTCTTCCCAGGTGCTGGCACCTCATTTGCCCTTTGCCTCTGTCTAGTATCTGCTACTGGACTCACTTCGAGTATCTGCCACCTAGTTTTGGTTTTCCAGTTAGTTTCGAGCTTAGGGCATAAACACTAGACTGCAAATGTTTGCTTTCTTTATTGAATGGCTGTCCCAGCCCTTCTAATAGCATTCCAGTGTCACCTGCTTTTCTCTGCACAAAGCCCCATGTGCCTTCATGAAAGGTTACAGAATTGATCGAGTTAGTGTTTGGTACTTGGCCTGAAAATAAACCAGAAATTCTGTTACCTGTAATATTCTGTAAGAGACAATAAAATTAACATTATTAAACAGAATATGACAAACGTTTCTCAAAGCTTGGAGGTATCTTTACTATACTTTGATGCAAAGGTCTTACTTGTAGTCGCCAAGATACTTCGGGGTGATGATGAATGTATCCAATAAACAGAAAAAGGAAAGAGGGTAGGTGAATTTTTCCCATGGAGTACTGTTTCATTGATAATTGTGCAAACTTGATCAAGATACAGTCCAACATAAATATCTTTAGCTGTTCAAAAATCAGAAATTTAGCTCAAATAATGGGATTCCTAAGGATGTGTGAAACCAGCCTTCTCATTTGGGGCTTTTAGATTGTACATTTTAAAACAATTTTCTTATAATACATAGGATTATGAGTCATTCATCTATTATATAAAAAGAGAGAGAGCGCAAGCAGAAGGAAATGAGACACACGTTTTAAAAAATTGCTTCTGCCTTCCTTTTGTTTACATGTCAGATGAATTTTCATGTAATAACAATTCCTGTAGTTGTGGTCTTTAAACAGATACTAAATATTGCAAGGATTGTGATGAGCTGTGGCAGCTGAGGTTTGTATTTAGATTTTAAAATAGTATGTATATAAAAAAGCTATGTAATTTCTAGATTTCATGTGGTATGTAGTGAATGGAGAAGTAGAAGAACCAGCTGGATCTGTTTACAGAGAATTCAGAGTGGTGTACTTCTCGTTGATAGCTACACAGGAGATGCTCTTCAGTTTCAGATTTGCTTTGCTGGTTGGTGTGTTGTGAATGCCAGACTGTTCAGTGTATTGTTTTGGCAGCATGTACTGACACTTACTGGAGCGTGTCAGCAGTTTTGGCACGAGACTGCTTGGGAAGAGACTTGGTGTAGCTGGATCATTTCAGAACTTCAGTGTTTCAGCTGTCATTAAGCTTTTAATGTGAAATGGGTTACCTGAATTAGAGTAGTGTTCAAATTCTCATGTTACTAGAATGAATTGGATGTAAATACCTAATTTTGGTGTAAATGTTCAATGTCGTAGTTTTGCTTCTGGACTATAAAGTCATCAATTTTGTAACTGTCAATGAACTTTGAGAGAGAACTCTGCCAGTATTCAGATTCTGCCAGCAAGCAGGGATTACTTGTTCCCCCCACCCTGAAAAACTTTTTGCAAAAAGCACATCTTCTCCAAGTAACCTTTAATCTTACAACTTGTAAGAAAATGTACCACATTTTGTCTTTAAAATTGTGTTACTTAGATATACGTAAGTGTAGATGCTTTGTCAGGACTGTTACAAAGATTAATCCCACTTTTAACTCTTTTATCTGGGGAAAAAACATGCACCTGGAAGACATTACGTCTCTCAAATGCTCTTTGAAATACTTGTTGCTATTTTAAACCAAAACCACTTCTACAAAGTGATTTGTGTGGTCACTTGTGTAACTTACATAGCTAGTACTAGTGGTGTAAAGATTTCAGGAATAATATAAAAGTATTCTTCATTGATTTGCTTGGGGTAGAAAGCAGTTATGTACTTTTTTTGGGGGGGGGGGGAGAAAAAAAAACCCAAGAAAAAAGCCCAAGAAAGAACCCACATGGTATCTTCTATAAGTTGATGGCACATAGACTTCAGAATTATTTTTGAAACATAGCTTTTATAAGGAAAATTGAGCAAATGTGTTTGCATAAACTATTTTCTGTAATTAGGATGAAAGTTTTTTTGGGGATTGAGTGGTAATGGTGTATATTGTGGGCTCATTTTTAAAGACTTTTTAAAAAATTTTTTTTTAAAAAATTATATTCTCTGTTCAGTGATAAATTATTAAATTTATGTAGCAACCCAATAGCTGTGATACCTTAGTATGTCATTACTATTTTGTAGATTAAGTATGTTCTGGTAAAAAAATAAAGATTTAATTTTTTTTTTTAGCTTGAAAAGTAAATCTTGTATGTATTCTTATTAACATTTAAAAAAAATACTATTACAGCTGCGTTGGGGTAGAGGAGCACCATGCTGTTGACATTGATCTATACCATTGTCCCAACTGTGCAATTCTCCATGGACCTTCTCTAAGTAAGTATGGGTTATTAAAATTTTATTTTGTACTTTCAGTCTGTTTTCATCCATGTACAATTGAAAATGACTGTTCAGAAGAACAGTCAAGATAGATTTGATTAATTTAGAAGATACTGGTTCTACATGACTAACACTGAGCTGATAAAAAAAAAAAAACAAACAAACACAAGACAAACAAACCATCCCAAAAAGTTCCTTGATCTGGAGATGCAGATAGAGTAAAATGTAAGCCACCACTACAGACTAGAGAAGTCAAAGATCACAGAGCTAGAAAACAATCTGGACTTGACAGACCGAGAGAATGAAAGTCACTGGTTGGTGGGGGAAAAAAAAAAAAAAAAAAAGAAAAATCCAAAAGATGGCTTAAGGTTCCTGTCTTTTAATAATCAAAATTCTGGTACATCAGAAGACAACTTTGAGAAAATGTAGTAGTTAGCTGTCTTACCTTTCTTGATGATTGTAGGCTGTATGCTGCAACAGTCCAGTGAAATCTGAGAATATGAATTTGCAGTGGCTTTTTTTTTTTTTTTTTTTTTTTTTTTTTTTTTTTTTTTTGGGTGGTTGCTGGTGGCTTTTTAGAGTTGCATAGCTCTGAATTTCAGGTTTCTGATTTATAAACAAGTTTCAGTCAAGGTCCTCATGCAATTTCATGAATTGTCAGAAGAGTTTGTGAAACAGAACAGTAAGAGACACCTCATCTTTGGTTCTTCTTTCAATAGATAGATTTGCTATGGAGATGTGCAGCAGAATCTTTGTCTTTCTGTAACAACTGAAAGGATACTACTTTATCCAACTCCTTGGGTTTTTCACCATGACTTCTGTTCTCAAAAGGAAACAATATGATAAGGAATATCACTTTTCCAACAATAACCTATGTTTCTGTGTTCAGAAAAAGGTGAAAAAGGTTTATATGTGCTATGTGTCTTTAACCACCAAGCACCAAGTCATGGTAGTTTGTGATTTCTAATGTTTTTTTGTTTTTTTTTTTTTTTTTTTTCCCCCTCATTGAAGACCACATAATAATTTTTAGTCATCAATGACTTAAGATCTGGTATCTTTTCAAAGCTGAATTTACCATTTAGAAATAAGCTTAAAACCACTGCATCTTCAGTGATAGTCTTGTAGATTAGGAATAAAGTGATAAAGCATCACTTATTGATGTATTAGTATATTATTCATGGTTTGTATCTTCTATAGGATGTGAGTTCAGGGTTAGCTTCTGTTAGGTTAGGGGCTAAGATGTAAGAAAAATGTTCTTTAACATGTTTTAGTATCCTGGTTGTAATTTTCAGTTAAAAATCTGCATGTCTCTCCTGTATATCAGAACACAACAGCTTTTTCTTTCCCCACCTTTATGCCTGTTTCTTCTGTGGAATGGAGGGACTAGAAGGAGTCAAAGGGGGATCATATAGGACTTTCCAAATAATAAACTGAATATAATCTGAATAATCTGAAATTTGTTTTCTTGATGTGGGAGAACTAGTATGCCTCACTGTGGTACCTGTGTGTAACCTTGTAATGCAGAGGCTCTAGTTCAAGCTCTGTCTCACGTGCAGCAATTAGACAGTGAGATAAGAGTGATTTTTGTGTTGGAAAAGTTTTCAAAAAGACAATCTGTGGTAAAAATTATCCTTATTACTTCTTACTGCCTCAAGTTAAGTAGATCATCTAGATTTAGTAGATGCTTCAGACACATACATATCAGCCCAAGCAGAGGTGATATATTGAAATATATCTTCATCTGGATTTTTATTAGTTGTTCCTAGCTAAGCTGTGTGAATCAAATCTGTAATAGTTTGTGGTTTGGACTCCTCTACTTACTATAGTGTTTAGAAAGACTGAAAAAAATCTCATGACTTCAAGTGTTGCAGCAATGCTCCAGAGTGCTTCAATCATATGAAATGATATATGTAATTAAAAAAAACATTTTTAGTTACAACTTGGGATTCTAAAATCCTTTTGCCTAAAGGAGTTTTGAAAGAGACAAAATTTCTTCAGTTTTATTTAATATAGGGCAAAGTGTTTCTGTGATTTAGCGAACATGTGTGTATATATCCTATCTAATCAAATGATGTAGTGCAAAAAATTTATAAGTATACGAGAAACACATACATCATACTACCAAAGAGATGGTTGCTTTCAGTGTCTTACAAAATTGTATCCTACAGAAATGTAAAAGTTCCAATAATGAAAAGAAAGCTACTGCATAGTTAGATGTAAAGATTAAATTAACCAGTTGATTTATTCTTATATTTCAAATAAAGATAAATCTTCTTGATTTGGAACAGCAGCAGTTTTATGAGACCTTTGCTAAACAGCCATGTGTGTAAAATGCTTAATAATTAATCCTGAAATCCTAAATCATTAACAAAAAAATAATAAAATTTTAAAAATAGTAATACACTATGGACTTTTCTTAGCTTACTTGGTTTAGAGTCTTCACATTATATTTTGTTATTTTCAGAGTTTTCTCAGTGATCCTTAAGTCTGAAAATGTTCTATTTGCATGAATGTCAAGAGTGAAGTCTGTCCCCAGACTCTAGAATCCACAGCTTTAAGAGAGCACGAGGTGCAGTAAAGTTAACAGGGCTGTGGTTGTCATGACGTTACTTTCTTAATGTGGTTTTACCTTCTCAAATTCTGTAAATACCCTCCCACCTCTTTTTTTTTTATTTTTTGTTTTTTTTTTTTTTGACTGTAATGCCAGTGTTTGGTCTGAGCTTACTTTGAGTTTTGCACTTGGGGAAGAGAAACAGCATGCACCAGTACAGGTTGGGGTCTGACCTGCTGGAGAGCAGTGTAGGGGAAAGGGACCTGGGGGTCCTGGTAGACAGCAGGATGACCATGAGCCAGCAATGTGCCCTGGTAGCCAAGAAGGCCAATGGCATCCTGGGGTGCATTAGAAAGGGTGTGGTTAGTCGGTCAAGAGAGGTTCTCCTCCCCCTCTATTCTGCATTGGTGAGGCCACATCTGGAGTATTGTGTCCAGTTCTGGGCCCCTCAGTTCAAGAAGGACAGGGAACTGCTGGAGAGAGTCCAGCGTAGGGCTACAAAGATGATTTAGGGGAGTGGAGCATCGCCCTTATGAGGAAAGGCTGAGGGAGCTGGGTCTCTTTAGCCTGGAGAAAAGGAGACTGAGGGGTGACCTCATCAATGTTTACAAATATGTAAGGGGTGAGTGTCAGGAAGATGGACTTAAGCTTTTTTTCAGTGATGACCTATGATAGGACAAGGGGTAATGGGTGCAAATTGGAGCATAGGAGGTTCAAGGTGAATATCAGGAAAAATTTTTTTACTGTGAGGGTGACGGAGCACTGGAACAGGCTGCCCAGAGAGGTTGTGGAGTCTCCTTCACTGGAGTCATTCAAAACCCGCCTGGATGCCTTCCTGTGTGATGTACTCTAGGTGACCCTGCTCTGGCAGGGGGGTTGGACTAGATGATCTTTCGAGGTCCCTTCCAACCCCTATGATTCTATGATGAGATAATGTATCAGGTCTTAAAAGTGATATTCTATATTTACTGTATGCTCCCTAGAATTTTTCAGTCTTCCTATGCTAACATTTGGTCACTAAGGAATCCTCTAGAAGACCACTTCCAAGGCTTGGTGCCCCATTGTGCAAACGTACACTTCTTGATGGTCTTCATTTGAAGTCTAGCATGTGGCCTGTGAGGCAGACAGTCTAGCAGTGTGAGAAGACAGGGAACAGTGTTTGCCTAAAGTAGGTACAGTTCTTGGCCCATTGTTCTGCATGTGTAAAGAATGTAATTTAAAAATAGCTTTCTGCTTACTTTTCATGAAAACTTCTGGCCCACTCTGTTCCTTTTCTCACCCCCCTGTAACTGTCTAGTTTACTTCCAGTATGTGAATTCCACTGTTCTTCCAGTGTGTGAATTTTTAGTGTTGTCACAGCAGGTTGTGCCTCAGCTTTCAGGAAGAGCAAGGGTGATCACCAGTGCCTTCTACTCGCTTGGGCTGATCGGGAGGCTGAGGTGTCATATGCATTTCAGCTTATCTAGGTTTTTCTTGGTTTAGTTTGAGTAGGAGCATCCATTCAGTTAAATTAACTTTTCTTGCAAAAAGACTGTAATGTATTCAGGGGCTATAAAAGCCTTAGAATTAGGAGATACCTAAACAGAAAAAAAATTACTGTTTCCTTCAGTTTTACCTTACTTATAGAAGGATGATGTACATTGCCAAGTGCTAAGTAAAAGATTTACTTTATTTTCTGATTTTTACGTGTTGGAAAGACAAACTTTAAAAAGTTGGTTCTGTGCTAATAAATCTTTTAAGCAGCTGTATCATCTTACAGTTGTAATGAGCTATTAGAACAGCAGTGAATTTATGAGAAACTACTCCGTTGCAAATTAGTATTAAACCACTAATTTTGTGTGTTGTTATTTATGACTGAGAAGATAGCTTGGAAAACTTAATAAACCTGGCCTCATTATTTACGAAGTTTTACTGTATTTGGGTAGTTGGCTTATTAAGCAGGCTCTTCAGTGATGCTTTTCAGGTTAGCAAATAGCTATAAATGTCAGTTTATTCTCTTAAATATCTTCTAAAGGGCACATTTTGTCACATCTGTAGGAAACCACTTACCAATAGGAGTAATTATGTGTAATGGCTATGAGATGTCAGTTATTCCTATATAACTGTTTTTTTTTTCTGGAGAAGCAGCTTCCTTTTTTTTTCTTTTTAGAAACTGTCTTCCCCTCGCCCTCCTTAAATCCTTAGCTTCCTATTACTGTTAGCTGTGTGCTCAGTATTGATAACAGTTTTTTAGGTTTTGGGTGCATCATGACTTTGGTAAACTTAAGAATGAACTCTTCCATAAGACTCAAATTTGTGTTAATACAGTTGTTTAGCTGGGTGTTGTTTGCATTGCAGACTTGTGTTTCTCAAACACTATTTTTATTGACAAGTAACAGTAGCCTTTCCCTGTTCTGTATTTCCTCAGTAGATGTAACTAAATTTCTGCTTAATATTAGCGGGTAAATTACAGATCTGGTCTCAGTAAATCTTGGGGCAGTCTTCCAGTAGCAACTACCTAATGCTATGGAGCAGAGTTTGGCTTTTTTAGGAAAAACTGAAATGCAGTATAAAAATTACGGTGCTCGCACTGCGGGAAATGATACGTTAGTAAGTCAATAGAAAGGTAGCAAGTTCAGCACTGTTGGAGTTTTTCCCAGATGATGAGGTGGTGATCCTTCTTACTAAGGCACCTGTTGGCAATTTAATAGGTCTTGTCAGCCCGTTGAATGTTTGAGGACAAGAGATACAGGTTTATTTTTATAGAGAGGAATTTCTCCAAAGTGCATTTTGCTAACAGACAGATGATACAACCAAGGGCTTCTTTCAAAGCAGTAAGCTTGTGTCCTTTATAATTGAAGATATAAAATGAGTGGTTGATGAAGATGAATTAATGAAATACCCATTATGAAATAATTTGTCACAGAATAAGGAAAATTTGAAGACAGGCAGGAACTTAACCATGATATTGTAAGTCACTTTGTCCTCTGCTTCACTTAAGGCAAAAAAAAAAACAACCCAAAAAAACCCAAAACCAAACAGGTAGGCTGCATACAGCTTACAGTCTTCTAAAATACAGCCTTTCAATAGTTGGGGGGTTGTCTATATAAAAGAGAAGACTTTTTACCAATGCTGGTACTGACAGGACAAGGGGTAACAATTTTAAACTGAAAGAGTTTAAAGTTAAGTTACATTTAGGTTGGATATAAGAAAGAAATTTTTTACAGTGAGACACAGGAACAGATTGCCTAGATAAGCTGTGAGTGCTCCATCCCTGGAAGTGTTGAAGACTAGGTTGGATAGAGCTTTGAGCAACGCAGTCTAGTGAAAGATGCCCCTGCCAATTGCACAGGGCTTGCACTAGGCTGTCTTTAAAGGTCCCTTTCAACCAAAACCATTCAATGATTCTATGAAAACAGAGGGTTTTTGTCCTCATTTGTGTATCTGTCATTTGTCATGGGGTGACCAACACAACATTTTTTTTTTTAGAATCTCTAGTTTTTCATTTTCCTCTGCCCATTAAGTATAGGGAACTGTTAAAAATGCAATTTAGCTGCTATTGAACTATTACTTACAGATTCCAAGAATTGTAATAGGACATTAATTTATCCTTTTTTCTTTATTAATATGCTGTAACTGTGCTTTAAAGCTTCAATACCCTCAGAAGTTAATTGTTTTGGGATCCAATGCTTGCGTTATATGTATTGTGCTTGCACAGTAAAGATCACACCTGCCAAAATCCCGTGAGTAAAAGAAAGGTGTTTTGGTTTTGAACAGCATATAGTAGTAAATAGTAGTAATAATATTTGACTAGATATGGGTGTGCTCATATGGCGAGAGAGAACAATGGAATTAGGTCCTGTCAATTCTATGTTAATACCTGAAATGAAGTCTATGGATCTTACAAAAGTACAGTTCTGGTGTTTATTAAAAAAAACACCAGTCTGAGCTTTAGGAATTAAAATTCTGTTTCTAGTTCTGTTACTGACTTAGCTTTCCGGATGCTGCTGTTCACTTGTGCAGCACTGGATATGGAGTCTTAAATGGTGTATAGTGTTCACTGAGACTCTCACACAGAAGGATCTGTAGAAGTTTAGCGGATTACTTACTGTCAGGTGTCTTGAAAATTTCACTCATTGCAGATAGGTAGAGTGTCACCTGCATAAACAATAAGGTTTGTCAATCATAGTAAAGTGACTGGGGCATGTCTGGCTCTTTCATGGGATAACTACTAATCTGAGCCATCGGATTTATCTAATTCAAAGTTTAATCCTTCTGAAATTTGTAGTGAAGAAGAGGAGGAACTGGCACAGACATGACTACACAGAGCTGGACGATGGTTCCAAACCGGTGCAGGCTGGAACACGGACCTTCGTTAAACAGCTGCGGGCTCGCTCTTTCCCAAGGTACAGAAGCTTACTTACATATTTCAGTGAAAAAAAAAAAAAAAAGCCCAAACCCAAAACTACAGAGAAATGTTGGCTCTGTGTGTCTTAGGGGAGGTGACTAACATTTGTCTGCTTCTGAAAGTTAAGGTCAAGAATGACTACTTCTCCTGTAGAATTGCCCCCCTGCCCTGCCCCTGTTTCAGATGGATATATTTGCCTTTCCATGAAGTAGCTTCCCCTGTTTGGTTTTACATGGGCATATGTTGTCTGCCGGGACTGCTGCAGGGTGGTGTGGGGTTTTTTTTTGAATTTTGTTTGTTTCTTTGGAAGAGTGGGGGCAGTAGCATGAGTGGTTGGGTTTTGTTTTTCATTTTGGTGCCTGAACTGTCAGAATATTGTCTGTCTATACTTCTAGTCCAGAAGTAGTCCTCAGTTTCGTTCCAAATAACATAGAATGTTTATATGAGCTGATAGTCTATCCGTTCTCGCATGCTTTAGAGGGAAGTGGAGAAACATGGTTGTACTTTGATCTTGAGCTGGCTGTGATTGGCTATTTCACAGTTCTTCAAAGGAGATGGTGGTGGTTGTTATTACCAAAATGTACTTCTAAAGTGCCTTCTATGAGAATTCCTTTTCCCCATCCTCTTAAATTACTGTGTTCAGTCATCTAGAAAGACTATGCGTTCCCTGGTTATGCATGACATATGCAGCTCTTTTTGCTGGTTTAGGTTGTTTTCATTGTCTTTTAGTTAAACGGTTAATATAATATTACTGAGTCAACTTCTTTTGATTTCAAATGTAGCTGTTCCCATCTGTCCTCCTCCAAACTGTGACTTTTTTTCTTTTCAGTAGTGCCTGGAGGATTCTTTTCTACTAATATTCCATTATTTCTTTCTGCCAGTGCTGATGAAGTAATTTTGAAAATGCATGGAAGCCAGCTGACACAAAGATATTTGGAGAAACATGGGTTTGATGTTCCCATTATGGTTCCTAAATTAGATGGTCTGGGGCTTAGACTTCCCCCACCAACTTTCTCTGTTTTAGATGTGGAACGCTATGTAGGTAAGAGCCACTCTGGAGTACTTACAAATTATCCTGTCTGTAAATTGAAATAAATATTTGCATGATTATAAGAGCTTCCAGGGTGTTAAATATATATATTCTAATTGAAGACTTGCAGAGAGTAAAATTAAAGCTATGGGATTTCTGGTAGTTTTTTTTTTTTCCTCTGTGTGTGTGGTAGATACATGATAGCATGCTTTTAAGCTTTCAAACACGTTAATTTTAGTGAAAAGTGAACAAAGAATGATGGTTTTTATTTTCTGCTACGTGTTGTAAACCAGTAAAGTATAATAACTTCTGAGAGTGTTGGCTTTGTGGGAATTGAATTAATTACTCATGATCAATAAAATTTAATAATTGGTTAGGATATTGCAAAACAATGTTTTGGGGTCAGTAAATTGATATTTCTGATTGAAGTCTTTCTTCCTGGAAAATTTCCTACCTTGGCTTCTTTTGGCAGGGGAACTAGAGGGTTCCCAAGGACTGTTTCTTATCAGCTCTTTAGACCGTCTGTAGTTGTTTCAACGTCATTTAAGTGCACAGTACAGAGAAACAGAGAATGAGCAAATTACAGCATTTCAAAAATCAATTGTCAACTTTGACTATAGTATAACTAAACGGTCATAAAAATATTATTATTATAATGTTATTAGTCCTTTTTCTTGGCTAAAGGTTGCTTCAGCCTTGCCTAATTCTACAGATGTATCAATTTAAAATATGCAGTATGTAAACCACTCATTGTTGTCTTTGGAAATGAAGCACACTTGTGACAATTATTCAATGCAATTACTGTTTGCTTAAAAGTTACATGTGTATATAAGAAGGGTGGGGGTGTGCTTGTAGAATGTTTGCAAATTAGTACCTGCATAGTTTTTAATGTTAATAAGTTACCAATTATGGCACGAGTTTAGTTCAGTTTGCTAAGAATTACAAGCTGTGAGCGGTAGGATTTATTATTTGTAAAGAATTCTCAGTGATCCTTGTGTTAAACATTCAAGTGCTGTGGTGGTGATTAATAGGAAGAGTGAGGAATAGAACTGCCTTGATAACTTTCTCTATGCTAGTCTTTGCAGTTGCAGCCAAAAATAATTATTTTTTTTTTTTTTAATTTTTAACCAGTTGCAGTCATTCTATACTGCTCTTTTTCTTCTTGGTTAACCACAGGAAAAGAGGATTTATTTTTAGAGTGTTTTCAGTTCTGTCCTTAGTTGATTATAGCAATTAAAGTTAGATCTAGTAAAAAGTCGGTTTATATTGGTCTGTCTCTGTTCCAAGAGAATACTCATAGTAGTGGAGATTTTGTGCAGAAATGTTTCGATAAAGGCTGGAAAAAAATTACATTTGTCTTAAACACCTTAATTAGCTATTTTTGTCTGCATTAGGTTTAAGAAAGTCATCCTTTTTTTCACAGGTGGTGACAAAGTGATAGATGTAATAGATGTAGCAAGACAAGCAGACAGTAAAATGAAGCTCCATAATTATATTAAATATTTCACAAATCCTGACCGGCCAAAAGTATTGAATGTGATCAGCCTGGAATTCTCGGACACAAAGTGAGTATTGACTTCAATTTCTTGAAGGCAGGAAGTGATTTTCACTAAGCAGGACAGCTCAGCAGTGTGCAGCAATATAATGTCTGTAGTGGGAAAGATATGAGGCTGTGTGTTTTATGTAGACAGCTACTTTGATGTAATGTGGGTATAAAACTTTTATTAATTCACAAGCAATAGCTTTGTAGGAAACAACTTTAAAGCTGTCATTTAAAAAAAAGGCATGCTTACTTTTGATTATATTCATGGTTCTTTTTTGTTTGTTTGTTTTTAAAGGATGTCTGAATTAGTGGAAGTACCAGATATTGCCAGAAAGCTTTCATGGGTGGAAAATTATTGGCCAGATGATTCTGTCTTCCCTAAGCCTTTTGTTCAGAAGTATTGCTTAATGGGTGTCCAGGACAGCTATACTGATTTTCATATCGATTTTGGAGGAACATCAGTTTGGTACCACGTTCTCTGGGTATGAAGGCTTCTTGATTTATGAGGTTGTGAAACAAAATTTATTCAGTGTGCAGCCTTCTGCCATGGCATTAACATCTGTATGAAATTTTGTGCTTAAAAATTCATGGGAGGAGCTTGAATGTGAATTAGTCATTGTTGATGTTACATTTTTATGCTTTTACTTCAGCACACTGTTGGTGGCTTCTAGACTAGTTGGACGACTGGTCGTTTTAGTAGACTGGTAGGTGATATAGTAAGGTTTTATTGTGAAAAAAATAACTGAATGAAAATCGTTGACATACTCAACATCTTATTCTTCTTACAAACTTGGAAGAGGCAAAGTGGTTTCATTATTTGGTTTCTCATTTGGCATGTGTGCACATACCCGTAAATTGTTTAAAAAAGCTGGATTTTTTTAATGTTCCAATGAAAAGTTTTAGATTGTTTGCTTCTTACATCACGAAATACCAACTGCTTGGTGTAATATTGACTAAACTTTTTGGTAGATTAGAGTTGTGAAATACCAGGGCTAGGAAGCTCTAACACTCCATAGTGGAAACCCAGAGTATTTACCATTTAGATCGGTGTATTTCTTCATTAGGAATGACTCAGAGGTTGTAGTATAGCTCCAGGAGGGCATTCATGTGTGTATTTGGTATTTTTGTTTAATAGGGTGAGAAGATATTCTATTTGATTAAGCCCACTGATGAAAATTTGGCTCTCTATGAGTCTTGGAGTTCATCTGTCACCCAAAGTGAAGTATATTTTGGGGACAAGGTTGACAAATGTTACAAATGCGTTGTGAAGCAAGGACACACTTTATTTGTTCCAACAGGTAAGATTTTACTCATATTGCTAGGATTTAGCATGTTTAATCACCAGGAAATAAGATTATAGTAAAATGATTGTTATCAACACATGAGAATTATCAAAATATTATTCAAGATATTCTGTGTGTTCTGCACCAAGTTTTCTTGCCTTGTTACATAGATATTGATAAAAACTACAGCATAAAAGTAGCAAGTAGGAATGTAAAAAACCTGAAAACCTTTAGTTGTTACGGATATGCCATAAAAATCCTTGGTGTTGATCTAACAGTGAGGAGGCTTTGCTGCAAATTTTGTCAATATCTGGGGAGATATGTGTTTAAAGGACCAAACACATTTTTTCAAGAGTCAGACATATTCATGTACTGTGATGATGATAAGAGTGAGAGATGAAAAGCATATTAACAACTGCAAAATGCAACTGGTAATAGAAGGCAATCTTCATTACACTGCATTTCTCAAAGAACAGAAGTAAAACTGAAAAATGTATAATATTAATTTAAAAAAAAAACCCAAACAACCACCAAAACCAAACCCAAAAGCACCTTAGGTGGCATCTGCCATTAAATTCAACATTCTCTCATATACTATTCTTTTAACTTCCTTCCCAGGCTATGTGGTAGGTATGTTGCTTTTTTTTTTACATGTGGTACACGACTGGAACTGGTTATTCTTAACTGAATTAGGGCATGGATTTAATGAAAGTTTGCGATATATTGTTACTTGTGATTTGATTTGATCTGGTCTTCGCTCAAACTGAGGAGCTTCATGTGTTTGTACATCTTGTCCATATTCAGTCAAACCATGAAGTAATTTACAAATCTATGGCCAGCTCATCTTTTGGCAAATAATCATCTGTGCATGCAAAATCAGAAAAAAAAATTGAAAGAAGATACGCTATTTGTAGTTTATTTACATTAAAGCTGCACTGTATAAATTTTATAGGTAACCATTTTTGATCAGGAAGTCAATATCAGATGTTCTTTTGTGTACTTGTTTGTAATTATCCAGTATTAATCAGCTGGATTGATAGCATAATGTTGATCATGCTTTGCCATGTTGAATAGTGGAGTTAACAAGGACAATATTTCAATTATGTGACAAATGTATGTAGTCAGAGTGCCTAGACAGGGTTTTAAACTGATAATTTCACTGGAATTAGGATGGATGAATTTGGCATAATTAATGGAGCCACTTCTGAATTCTTATTTTAAAAACCTCAGTATTGCTTAATGACTTTTTTATGCTGTCCAAACAGGTTGTTTACTCTAAACATGTAAATATTGAAAATAATGTGATTTCTGTTTCATTTTTATGACTTTTATCTTTGTTCAGTGTATTTTTCCTCTCCTGATCTGCTTATTGTTGTTCATCGTAAGGCAAACTTTTGGTAATTTTTACTTGACAAATCACTGTCAGTCTTGCATCGTCCACCCCCACTCCCTAGTGAAAAATGTCATCTTAACTCCTTCAGAAAACTACAGTTCCTCTAGATTTCTGAAACACTGTAATTTACATGTTGTTAAAATTTAGATTACTTGTTCGTACCAGAGAATACAAATTCATTTTGCTTTTTTGTTTCCAGGCACAGCTTATTTACTTACATAGGTATTTAAAACCAGTCCTAGAGTAGTATATATATGTACGTATTAAGTTTCAGAATCTGTCATTTCAGGCTGGATTCATGCTGTGCTCACATCTCAGGATTGTATGGCTTTTGGAGGAAACTTTTTGCACAACCTCAACATTGGCATGCAGCTCAGGTTAGTCTCGGCTCTTCCTATACTTTTTCCTCAATAAGAAGGATATTCTTTTAACAGATATTTTGCTTCATGCTCTTAACCAGGATCAAATCGGTACAGGCTCTCAAACAGACAGTAGTGGTGTTTTCAGTTAGAATGTATCAAGCACATACTCTTATTTCACTTCTGCCAAGTTTGTTTCAAAAGCAAAATGAAGAGTGTGCAAGAATTTAAGTGAATAAAAGGAAAAAAAAAAAAAAAAAAAGACAAAACCTCTTCTTTGGAGATTAGTCTGAGTGAAACAAGACGGAGCAAGCCCAGGTGTGTGACACTGAGTTGAAATAAGCGTCCTCAAGTCAGCATTGCTCTAAGGGCAGCTGTGTTTAGTTTTTGTCCAAGATATGGAGCTGTCTTCTAAACATTTTGTTTTTATTTATTACAGTGGAATCCTGATAAAATTCCAATTTGAATGACTACATAGTTGAGTAATGAATTTGATAATTAAAACATTCATGTTTTGTAATATTTCTGTTTTTCAGGTGTTATGAAATGGAGAAGAGGCTAAAAACCCCAGATCTTTTCAAATTTCCTTTCTTTGAAGCCATCTGTTGGTTTGTGGCCAAAAACTTACTGGAAACATTGAAAGGTAATCCTTGTTTTGTTTTAAGAGATATACATGTATCCGCTTTTACTTTTTTTTTTTTTTTTTTTTCCTCTTCATTGATACTGAAGAAAACTTGGAGAAAATTATACTGCTGTTGTGTGAACAGAGGAAACTTTTCAAGCTGGAGAACTAGACCTGATTATTTTGTAACAACACTATTTTTTAACCAGATTTTAATGAATGCTGCACTGTGATGGTTCTAGACCCACTGGTTCTTGGTTTTAATAAATGATCTTTCTGAAAACTACTTTGATGATTAAAGGTTTCTAGGGTAACTTCTGCTGTGCAAAAATCAGTTGTGTAACCAGCACTTTGTAGCATGCTGCTGGAACCTTTTGAACTATTTTATTAGTGTTTTTCATCCAATGATGTTTCTGGGATATGTATCTGGTCAATGAAAATATTCTAGATTGTCAGGATGGAGTGTCCAAGATCCTGGCACAGTGCAATTATACTACCAGCCAAATAGGATTAATTTGCCATTATCTGAAAACACCTTGTTCAGGAAGATAGGAAAGTTATTTCAATGGCATCGGTTTTTCACTAAGACTCCTTCTGTATCATTTAAGATCTTTGAGTACCCTTTGATAGCCTTTCTCTCCTTTCACCAAATGACTAAATGATCCCACTCACTTAAATCTGTGGGTATCTTCTTGGTGGCTTCACATCTGAATTGAACTACAATTTTCTTTGACCTTTCCAGTGAAACTGGCTGTTGTCTTCTGCTCTTTGTTGTAAAGGGAACGGTTTCTGTGAGGACTTTTGTAGGAAAGATGCATCAGGTCCTGTGAGCTGTGTTAAATCATTTATATCAGTGCTTGTCAACAGACATCTTGACAGACTCTTGTTCTTGACAGTTGCTTGTGCTTTTGAAACTTCCCTATCTAGTCCGGTAGTTCCTGTGTCTGTACCCATGTATAATTGAGCTTGAGAAAGTGCCTGTCCGTCTGCACCTTCTTTTCATCAAATATCTTGCCCTCTGCTTGCTCTACTTAATCTTAATAATAAATGTCACATTCCACATTATTTATTTCAAAAGAGAGAAATCAACCTTCAGGGGAGGCTGCTGAATTGAGTTTCTGCTTTGGAAGAGATCAGAATCTCACATAACATTTTTCTAATATGAAAGCAGTCGCAGTTATTGAAAATTATCTATTCTTTCAGCAAATGAAGTCATTGAAAACCTTTGTTTCCTAAATGAGCGTTCAGAACTTCCAGATAAACCTAAATCAACTCAGAAATCTTAACAAATAGAACAAATTTGCAGAAATTTTTTTCTTCCACAAAATGAATATTTTCTTCTTGAAAGCTTGCTTTGGTTGGTCTCACTTCCACATATTTAAGAACTTACAACTCATCAGAAGACGTAGTAGCTATATTCCTGCT